GGGATAGGCCCCCAAATCTCTGGCCAGAAGCTGGCCCCCAAACCTGGCCATAAACAAAATCTCTGCCTTGCTGTGACATGTTATGATGGTCATGATGCCCACACACAGAAGGTTGTAGGTTACTGGAATGAGGAGCAAGGAACACCTGCCAACCCAGGGAGGAAAACTGCTTCAGGCATTCTAAACCACAAACAATAGCATGAGCCATCTGTGCCTTGAGCATGTTCCTGCTGCAGATAACTAGCTAGAGACCATTGCTTTGTTTTGGCCTATCCCTTTGTTTCCCGCAGGAATACTTTTGATTAATCTATAATCTATAGAAATGATGCTTATCACTGGCTTATTGTCAATAAATATATAAAAAGATGAAATGTCTCTTTTCAGGGCTCTAGCTCTGAAGGCTATGATTCCTGAAGTTTCCCCTCCACACTCTATATTTCTGTGTGTGTGTCTCTTTAATTCCTCTAGCGCTGCTGTAGTTGAAATCTCCCACAACAGGCAGGGTCACCAGCAGTAGGTCCTGGAAATCATGAAAAAAGCATTTTCCATAAGGCCACACAGAACCTTGCCTTATTGCTATGTAGGGCAGCACTAAGATTAGATAGAGGAAAGTCAAATGTATCTGTAATATTGTTTGGTGAGTGCATCCTTACACACAACTGAAAGTGCCTTTCCTGTTTGGCGCAGAGTTATCCCTTTAAGCCAGAAGACCTTTGAGAGACATGTTGCCTTCTAGGTGAAGTCATCACAGGTCCATCTTATGAGATCATTTCAGGGAAGGTTTGCATAAGTGAAAGCAAAGGACAGCTGTGAACTAGACAGGCTGAAAAATTAAGGCAACATGTAAAAATGATTTTTACAATGTAGCCTAAGAAGACATCATTAACCAACAAAGACTGTGATAATGGATTTGGATATGCTCTAGAACCCTCAGAGTCAGTCTGCATGGAATGGCACCAAGCAATAAACAAGAGGAACATGGCAGTGAGCTGGCACCATCCCCAGGGGCACACAGGGTCTCACTGAACTCTCAAATCAACATGCCTCTGAGAGATGCTTGTTTGATTGCTTTATCCCAATAACCACTTTTAAAGAAGTATCAGAGAGATAGATGAGCTGTCCAGGCTTTTGAAAAATGAGTTCATTTTTAGCTAAGCAGATGAGGGAAGTTATGTGTGAAGATACTCACTGAGTAGTTTGCTGGGGGTAAGTTTCTGCTTTTGGAGCAGTTCAGGGATGAAAAGGATTTGAAGTGGTAGGAAGAGCATGGGCAGTTTTCATGGTGGTTTGTGGTGAAAATGCCACTCTGGAGTACAGTAGAATGAATTTGGTGTGTACCTACAGGGTGGTTACATAAATCTCATTGTTGTTCAAGTGGTCAGCCAAGAGTGGCACACCAGTGTCACTCAGAGGTGAATCGGTCTATAACAGTTCTGGCTAGTTTTAACAGCTAAAAGAAAACATAAAGTTCAATTTGCAGTATATCCTGGATTAGTGCTATCGTAAATGGAAAGTGTTGCTTTTACAGAAGATCTAATAGCTTGTTTGTTTGTTTTAAAGGAGCATGATTTCGGCTCTGCTTGGCTGTTGCTTAGGCAGTGATATCTCACTGTAACCGAACTCTGACCTCAGTATGATCCTTCACTCCTCAGCATTCCCAGTAGCTAGGACTACAAGACATGCTATCACACCTAGATTAATAAAAAATATATATATCTTTTGTACAAAGATGGGAGTGATATTGACCCACTATTTTAGCAAAGAGCTTATTTGCCAAAATGTCTCAGCTCAAAAAGCAGAAGAGTGCTGAGGCTGTATGTGGTGTTCATCTTTTATAAAAAGAGTTTGATAAGGTTTTCAGAGTGGAGGAAAAGGGCATTTCTGCAGGTGCAAAGATGACCATCTGGAGATCTAAAATGAATATCTTCCATGGAAACACATTGCCTTCTCACCCAGCACCAGGCAGAAAGGAGCCAGCCCTGTAGGCCCCAAGAGATCTGAGACCTATAACTTCATTTCAATGAGATCCAAAAAGTCTCAAAGTACCGACATTTTTTCTGGCTGGAGCTCAACACAGCTGGTTTTAATTCAACTTACATCATACACTGAAAGCATCTGGAAAGAGGAGATGATCCTTTCTGTCATCATCTTCCCTCTGATTCTTTCTGTCTCCAAACAGTAGAGAGACTTTCCCATCTTGGGAAATAATTCACACAACAGCTACCTTCCTACAATTTACAATGCCACTTTGTCATCTTTCTCCAATATGCAGTTGTTTCACTTTTCCATAGACTCTCTTTGACCCTTTCAGTATAACATCAATCACTTCAATGTTTGTATTGAGTCTGATATCTCCCACACTGCACTGTAAAGACATACTCAAAGACCAGGTAATTTATAAAAGAAAGAGGTTTAATTGGCTCCCACTGATCCCACATGACTGGGGAAAGCCTCAGGAAACTTACAATCATGACAGAAGGTGGGAATAAGCAAAGGCATGTCTCATGGCAGCAGGCAAAGAGAGAGAGGAAAGAGCTTGTGGTGAAGGAGGAAGAGCCTTATAAAACCCCATCATCATTCTCACTTGAGAACTCCTCAGCATGACAAGAACAGCATGGGAAAACTGCCCATGGAGTGTCCCAGCTCCTGGTCCACATAACACATGGGGATTATGAAATTACAATTTGAAGAATGAGATTTGAGGCTGAAACAGAGTCAAAACCACCCTCATTCTACCCTGGTCCCTCCCAAATCTCATGTCTTTCACATTCAAAACCAACTGTGCACCTTCCCAACAATCCTCCAAAGTCTTATCATTTCAGCACACTAACTCAAAGAAGTCACATAGTCCAGATCTCATCTAGATAAGTCAAGTCCTTCCCCCTACAAGGCCTGTAAAATCAAAAACAAGTTGGCAACTTCAAAGAGACAAAAGTAAGAATTGCAAGTGGTAAATGTTCCCATTTGATAAATTGGCCAAGGGCTACAGGCCCCATGATCCAAAACCAGGCAGGGCAGTCATTAAATCTTAAAGCTCCAAAATGATCTCCTTTGACTTCATGTCTCACACATCTATAAGTCAAAGTGATGACAGAAATGAAAATCCCACAAGTCTCAGGCAGCTCAAACCTGTGTGACTTTGCAGGGTAAAGTCCCCCTCATGCTGTCTTCAGAGCCTGGCATTGAGAATATCTGCAGCACTGGCACATAGTGTAAGCTATTGGGTCTACTATTTGGGGTTCTGGAGGATGGTGGCCTTCTTCTCACAACTCCACTAGGCAGTGCCCCAGTGGAGACTCTGTGTGGGGGCTCCAACCTCACATTTCTTTACCACCCTGCACTAGCAGAGGTTCCCCATAAGAACTTCACCCATGCAGCAAACTGCCTGGACATCAAGCATTTCCATATACCCTCTACAATTTATGCAGTGGTTCCTAAAGCTAAGTGCATCTTCTGTGTGCCTGCAGGCCCAACACCACATCGATGCTGCAAGACTTGAAACACACCCTCTACAGAATCAATAACCTGACTGTACCTTGGCCCCTTTTAGCCATGGCTGGAGTCACAGGACAGGGGCACCAAGTCCTGAGAATTTGCACACAGCACAGGGGCCTGGACCCAGCCCACAAAACCATTTTCCTTCCTGAGCCTCAGTCACTGTGATGGAGGGTCTGCTAAAGGTCTCTAAACATGCCTGGAGCAAATTTTCCAAACTTTTATGCTCTGCTTCCCTTTTAAACCTAAATTCCAATTTCAGATCATCTCTCTCAAGTTCATAGTTCCACAGATCTCTAGGGCAGGGGACAAATGCCACTGATCTCTTGCCTAAAGCATAGCAGAGTGACCTTTGCTCCAGTTGCCAACAAGTTCCTCATCTCCATCTGAGACTCAGCCTGGACTTCATTGTCCACAACATTATCAACATTTGGTCAAAACCATTCAACAAGCCTCTAGGAAGTTCAGGCTTTTCCACATCTTCCTGTCTTCTTATGAGCTCTCAAACTGTTCCAACCTCTGCCTGTTACAGTTCCAAAATTACTTGCACATTTTCAGTATCTTTGCTGCTTAGTACCTTCCCCTCTCCATGGCACCAATTTACTGTATTAGTCCATTCTCACACTGCTATAAAGACAAACCCAGACTTTGGGTCATTTACAAAGGAAAGAGCTTTAATTGACTCACAGTTCCATGTTGCTGTGGGGGCCTCGGAAACTTATAATGGCAGAAGGTGAAGATGCAAAGCTGTATCTTATACAGTGGCAAGCAAAAAAGAGAGACAAAGAGCTTGCAAGTGAAGGATAAAAAGGGCTCCTTATAAAACCATCAGATCCTCTCACCAGAACTCACTATGATGAGGGCAGCAGGTGGAAAACTGCCCCCATGATCCAATCACTTCCCCACCAGATTATCTCACTCAACACGTGGGGATTATGGGGATTACAATTCAAGTTGAGATTTGGTGGGGGACACAGAACCAAACCATGTTAAATCTGGTGTGACCTCATGCTGGAAAACAATCAGTAATGGATTCACTATTAATACATTAGCCTGTTCTTTACCACATTCCCGAAGAAATTAGCCTTGTTAATGTGGAAATCTCTAAGGAGCATAGCAAAGTGATCTGTACCACAGTTCTCCATTCTCACACTGCTATAAAGACAAACCCAAGACTGGGTCATTTACAAAGGAAAGAGCTTTAATTGACTCACAGTTCCATGTTGCTGTGGGGGCCTCAGGAAACTTATAATCCTGGCAGAAGGTGAGAGAGATGCAAAGCCATGTCTTATACAGTGGCAAGCAAAAAAGAGAGACAAAGAGCTTGCAAGTGAAGGGATAAGGGCTCCTTATAAAACCATCAGATCTCATAAGAACTCACTATGATGAGGGCAGCAGGTGGAAAACTGCCCCCATGATCCAATCATCTCCCACCAGGTCCCATCCTCAACACGTGGGGATTATGGGGATTACAATTCAAGTTGAGATTTGGTGGGGGACACAGAACCAAACCATGTTAAATCTGGTGTGACCTCATGCTGGAAAACAATCAATGGATTCACTATTAAATACATTAGCCTGTTCTTTACCACATTCGAAAATTAGCCTTGTTAATGTGGAAATCTCTAAGGAGCATAGCAAGAGTGATCTGTACCACAGTTCCCAATTTGTTCTGCTCCACTGAGATGACAGTGAAGATTTGAGCAATGTAGTTAACTCTAGAGAATATGTTCAAATTGAAAAACTGTAAGAGAAAAGGGGAAAAAAAAGGAGGTATTGCAGAGGAGAATGGAAACTTCAACACCAGTGGCCGAATAGGAACAGTTCCGGTCTGCAGCACCCAGCATGATCGATGCAGAAGACGGGTGATTTCTGCATTTCTAACTGAGGTACCTGGTTCATCTCATTGGGACTGGTTGTATAGTGGGTGAGCTGAAGCAGGGCGGGGCATCACCTCACCTAGGAAGTGCAAGAGGGTGAGGGATTTCCCCTTCCTAGACAAGGGAAGCTGTGACAGACTGTACATGGAAAAATGGGACACTGCTGCCCAAATACTGTGCTTTTCTCAAGGTCTTATTAACCAGCAGAAAAAGAGATTCTCCCCCTTGCCTGGCTTAGTCGCTCCCACGTCCATGGAGTCTTGCTCACTGCTAGTGCAGCAATCTGAGATTGAACTGCAAGGCAGCAACCTGCTGGGGGAGGGTTGTCTACCATTGCTGAGGCTCGAGTAGGTAAACAAAGCAGCCAAGAAACTCAAACTGAGCTGAGCCCACCGCAGCTCAGCAAGGCCTACTGCCTCTATAGACTCCACCTCTGTGGGCAGGGCATATCTGAACAAAAGGCAGCAGACAACTTCTGCAGGCTTAAACATTCCTGTCTGACAGCTCTGAAGAGAGCAGTGGTTCTCCCAGTATGGCATTTGAGCTCTGAGAATGGACAGACTGCCTCCTCAAGTGGTTACCTGACCCCTGTGTAGCCTGGCTGGGAAATATCTCCCAGTAGGAGCTGACAGGCACCTCATATAGGCGGGTGCCCCTTTGGTACGAAGCTTCCAGAGAAAGGATCAGGCAGGAATATTTGCTGTTCTGCAATATTTGCTGTTCTGCAGCCTTAGCTAGTGATACCCATACAAACAGTGTCTGCAGTAGACCTCCAGCAAAGTCCAACAGACCTGCAGCTGAGGGACCTGACTGTTAGAAGGAAAACTAACAAACAGAAAGGAATAGCATAAACATCAACAAAAAGGACATATACACCAAAACCCCATCTGTAGTTAACCAACATCAAAGACCAAAGGTAGATAAAACCACAAAGATGGGGAGAAACTAGAGCAGAAAAGTTGAAAATTCTAAAAACCATAGTGCGTCTTCTTCTCCAAAGAATTGCAGCTCATTGCCAGCAATGGAACAAAGCTGGATGGAGAATTACTTTGACAAGTTGACAGAAGTAGGCGTCAGAAGTTTTGTAATAACAAACTTCTCCAAGCTAAAGGAGCATGTTTGAACCTATCGCAAGGAAGCTAAAAACCTTGAAAAAAGGTTAGACAAATGGCTAACTAGAATAAACAGTGTAGAGAAGACCTTAAATGACCTGAAGGAGCTGAAAACCATGGCATGAGAACTTCATGACGCATGCACAAGCTTCAATAGTCAATTAGATCAAGTGCAATAAAGGGTATCAGTGACTGAAGATTAAATTAATGAAATAAAGCAGGAAGACTAGGTTAGAGAAACAAGAGTAAAAAGAAACAAGCAAAGCCTATAAGAAATATGGGACTATGTGAAAACACCAAATCTACATTTGATTGGTGTACCTGAAAGTGATGAGGAGAATGGAAACAAGTTGGAAAACACTCTTCAGGATAGTATCCAGGAGAACTTCCCCAACCTAGCAAGGCAAGTCAACATTCAAATTCAGGAAATACAGAGAACACCACAAAGATACTTCTCAAGAACAACAACCCCAAGACACATAATTGTCAAATTCACCAAGATTGAAATGAAGGAAAAAATGTTAAGGGCAGCCAGAGAGAAAGGTCGGGTCACCCACAAAGGGAAGCCCATCAGACTAACATCAGATCTCTCTGCAGAAACCCTACAAGCTAGAAGACAGTGGGGACCAATATTCATCATTCTTAAAGAAAAGAATTTTCAACCTGGAATTTCACATCTGGTCAAACTAAGCTTCATAAGTGAAGGAGAAATAAAATCCTTTACAGACAAGCAAATGCTGAGAGCTTTTGTCACCACCAGGCCTACCTTACAAGAGCTCCTGAAGGAAGCACTAAACATGGAAAGAAACAACTGGTACCAGCCACTGCAAAAACATGCCAAATTGTAAAGACGATCGATGCTGTGAAGAAACTGCATCAATTAACGGGTAACATAATCAGCTACCATCATAATGACAGGATCAAATTAACACATAACAATATTTACCTTAAATGTAAATGGGCTAAATACCCCAATTAAAAGACACAGACTGACAAATTGGATAAAGAGTCAAGGCCCATCAGTGTGCTGTATTCAGGAAGCCCATCTCACATGCAAAGACACACACAGGCTCAAAATAAAGAGATGGAGGAAGATCTACCAAGCAAACAGAAAGCAAAAAAAAATAAATAAATAAATAAAAAGCAGGGGTTGCAATCCTAGTCTCAATGAAACAGACTTTAAACCAACAAAAATCAAAAGACACAAAGAAGGCCATACATATGGTAAAGGGAGCAATTGAACAAGAAGAGCTTACCATCCTAAATATATATGCACCCAATACAGGAGCACCCGGATTCATAAAGCAAGTTCTTAGAGACCTACAAAGAGACTTAGACTCCCACACAATTATAATGGGACACTTTAACACCCCACTGTCAATATTAGACAGATCAATGAGACAGAAGGTTAACAAGGATATCCAGGACTTGAACTCAGCTCTGCACCAAGCAGACTAACAGACATCTACAGAACTCTCCACCCCAAGTCAACAGAATATACATTCTTCGCAGCACCACACTGCACTTATCCTAAAATTGACCATATGATTGGAAGTAAAGCACTCCTCAGCAAATGTAAAAGAACAGAAATCACAACAAACTGTCTCTCAGACCACAGTGGAATCAAATTAGAACTCTAGATTAAGAAACTCACTCAAAATGGCACAACTACATGGAAACTGAACAACCTGCTCCTGAACGACTACTGGGTAAATAACAAAGTGAAGGCAGAAATAAAGATGTTCCCTGAAACCAATGAGAATAAAGACACAAACAGAATCTCTGGGACACATTTAAAGCAGTGTGTAGAGGGAAATTTATAGCATTAAATGCCCACAGGAGAAAGCAGGAAAGATCTAAAATTGACACACTAACATCACAATTAAAAGAATTAGAGAAGCAAGAGCAAACAAATTCAAAATCTAGCAGAAGGGAAGAAATAACTAAGATCAGAGCAGAACTGAAAGAGATAGAGACACAAAAAAAGCCCTTTAAAAAAATCAACGAATCCAGGAGCTGGTTTTTTGAAAAGATCAACAAAATTGATAGACCACTAGTAAGACTAATAAAGAAGAAAAGAGGGAAGAATAAAATAGATGCAATAAAAATGATAAAGGGGATATCACCACTGATCCCACAGAAACACAAACTACTATCAGAGAATACTATAAACACCTCAATGCAAATAAACTAGAAAATCTAGAAGAAATGGATAAATTCCTGGACACATACACCCTTGCAAGACGAAAACAGGAAGAAGTTGAACCTCTGAATAGACCAATAACAGGCTCTGAAATTAAGGCAATAATTAATAGCCTACCAATGAAAAAAAGTCCAGGACCAGATGGATTCACAGCCGAATTCTACCGGAAGTACAAACAGGAGCTGGTACCATTCCTTCTGAAACTATTCCAATCAATAGAAAAAGAGGGAATCCTCCCTAACTCATTTTATGAGGCCAACATCATCCTGATACCAAAGCCTGGCAGAGACACAACAAAAAAAGAGAATTTTAGACCAATATCCCTGATGAACATCGATGCAAAAATCCTCAATAAAATACTGGCAAACCAAATCCAGCAGCACATTGAAAAGCTTATTCACCACGATCAAGTTGGCCTCATCCCTCAGATGCCAGGCTGGTTCAACATATGCAAATCAATAAACGTAATCCATCACATAAACAGAACCAATGACAAAACCACATGATTATTTCAATAGATGCAGAAAAGGCCTTCGACAAAATTCAATATCCCTTCGTGCTAAAAACTTGCAATAAACTAGGTATTGATGGAATATATCTCAAAATAATAAGAGCTATTTATGACAAACCCACAGGCAATATCATACTGAATGGGCAAAAACTGGAAGCATTCCTTTTGAAAACCGGCACAAGACAAGGATGCCCTCTATCACCACTCCTATTCAACATACTGTTGGAAGTTCTGGCCAGGGCAATCAGGCAAGAGAAATAAATAGAGAGTATTCAATTAGGAAAAGAGGAAGTCAAATTGTCACTGTTCGCAGATGACATGATTGTATATTTAGAAAACCCCATCATCTCAGCCCAAAATCTCAAGTTGATAAGCAACTTCAGCAAAGTCTCAGGATACAAAATCAATGTGCAAAAATCACAAGCATTCCTATACACCAATAACAGACAAACAGAGAGACAAATCATGAGTGAACTCCCATTCACAATTGCTACAAAGAGAATGAAATACCTAGGAATGCAACTTAAAAGGGATGGGAAGGACCTCTTCAAGGAGAACTACAAACCACTGCTCAATGAAATAAAAGAGGACACAAACACATGGAAGAACATTCCATGCTCATGGATAGGAAGAATCAATATCATGAAAATGGCCATACTGCCCAAGGTAATTTATAGATTCAATGCCATCCCCATCAAGCTACCAATGATATCCTTCACAAAATTGGAAGAAACTAGTTTAAAGTTCATATGGAATCAAAAAAGAGCCTGCATTGCCAAGACAATCCTAAGCCAAAAGAACAAAACTGGAGGCATCACGCTACCTGACTTCAAACTATATTACAAGGCTACAGTAACCAAAACAGCATGGTACTGGTACCAAAAAAGATATATAGACCAATGGAACAGAACAGTGGGCTCAGAAATAACACCACACATCTACAACCATCTGATCTTTGACAAACCTGACAAAAACAAGAAATGGGGAAAGGATTCCCTATTTAATAAATGGTGCTGGGAAAACTGGCTAGCCACATGTAAAAAGCTGGAAGTGGATCCATTCCTTACACCTTATACAAAAATTAATTCCAGATGGATTAAAGACTCAAATGTTAGGCCTAAAACCATAAAAACCCTAGAAGGAAACCTAGGCAATATCTTTCAGGACGTAGGCATGGGCAAGAACATGACTAAAACACCAAAAGCAATGGCAACGATAGCCAAAATAGACAAATGGGATCTAATTAAACTAAAGAGCTTTTCCACAGCAAAAGAAACTACTATCAGAGTGAACAGGCAACCTATAGAATGGTAGAAAATTTTTGCAATCTACCCATCTGACAAAGGGCTAACATCCAGAACCTACAAATAACTCAAACACATTTATAAGAGAAAAAAAAAAAAAACATCAAAAAGTGGGCAAAGGATATGAACAGACACTTCGCAAAAGAAGACATTTACACAGTCAAAAGACACATGAATAAATGCTCATCATCCCTGGTCATCAGAGAAATGCAAATCAAAACCACAATGTGATATCATCTCACGCTAGTTAGAATGGTGATCATTAAAAAGTCAGGAAACAACAAATGCTGGAGAGGATGTGGAGAAATAGGAACGCTTTTACCCTGTTGGTGGGAGTATAAATTAGTTCAACCATTGTGGAAGACAGTGTGGCGATTCCTCAAGGATCTAGAACTAGAAATACCATTTGACCCAGCCATCCCATTACTGGGTATATACCCAAAGGATTATAAATCATGCTGCTATAAAGACACATGCACACATATGTTTATTGTGGCACTATTCACAATAGCAAAGACCTGGAACCAACCCAAATGTCCATCAATGATAGACTGGATTAAGAAAATGTGGCATATATACACTATGGAATACTATGTAACCATAAAAAAGGATGAGTTCATGTCCTTTGCAGGAACATGGATGAAGCTGTAAACCACCATTCTCAGCAAACTATTACATGGACAGAAAATCAAACACTGCATGTTCTCACTCATAGGTGGGAACTGAACAATGAGAACACTGGACACAGGCCAGGGAACATCACACACTGGGGCCTGTTTGGGGGTGGGGAACTGGGGGAGGGATAGCATCAGGAAAAACATCTATGTGAATGACAAGTTGATGTTGATAGGTGCAGCAAACCAACATGGCACATGTATACCTATGTATCAAACCTGCACGTTGTGCACATGTACCCTAGAACTAAAAGTATAATAAGAAAGAAAGAAAGAAAGAAAGAAAGAAAGAAATGCACATGTACCCTAGAACTTAAAGTATAATAAGAAAGAAAGAAAGAAAGAAAGAAAGAAAGAAAGAAAGAAAGAAAGAAAGAAAGAAAGAAAGAAAGAAAGAAAGAAAGAAAGAAAGAAAGAAAGAAAGACTGGAAGAAAAGGGCAACAGTCACTATTTAAATGCCATCCCACTTTTCAACATTTTTACAAACCTAATAAATACATATTTTATAATTGAATAACTACATTGCATAAGGGGGGAAACCATCAATGAAAAAATCATGTGGTTTGATCAAAAAGAAAAATGAAGCTTAGAGTCTTTTGCAATAATACCTATGTTAATAAAAAGAAGTATGGAAATAAGAAAACAAAAGGATCTAAAGTCATGGAAGTTCATATACATTCAGTGAATATGATATAAAAAGGCTGAATTCTCTCATGACGTACATGGCACACCAAGGAAAAAGAAACAATATTCAGCTCCCAGAGTACCATTTCAATGAAACCCAAATATTCTGGATTAATGAAGGCTGCCTGTGAAATTTTTGGTAAAGAAGTAGATCCCATTATAGAAACATGGAGTGGGATAGGGTGAATTTGGTGATGTGATGAGCCTCTCCTGAGAAACGCTTCCCTTCTTGGACACATGTCCATTCATCACTGTCCACAGCTTTACTGGGCTTATAGATACATAGTCTTATCTCCTCCCTAGCCCCTTCTGCCATTTCTTGATAATTTCAGCATTCCAAGTAGAAGACTCATTTGAGACGCAACCATCACTGTGCCTACCAAACTCTGAGATGTCCCCACATCATGCACCAGACCCCAAATCCTGCCCAGAAAATCTTTTGTCAGCACAGATCCCTGTCTAGAAACTGAACTTCATGTGTCATTTGCTAATCACAGACATCCATCCCAACTTAATTGCACCACTTCCACTGAACTGAGTCAACCTCTTTGACACTTCTAGTTCCTGTGAGTGCTTAGGTCTCCTGTGGTCACCTCTCTATCTTTCGCAAGATGGGACCACTAACAATCATTATCTCAACAATTGTCATTTGCTGTTGCATCATCTTTCCCCTGAAAATCACACAAGCAAAAATCCAGGATGGATCAGTTCCAAACGTAGTGTCCCTGTTCCTGCCCAGCTGAAGGACATGCACAACCATGAAGATGGTGCCTTTACAAACCAACAATCTCCACAAGTCACACCAGTCCTTGCCCATCCTTTGACAAACATTCTTGTCTACTTCTTCTTCCTCGCAGTGACCATTTAAAACGTGAAATACACTACTAGAGACCACTTAACAGTTTATCTCACTGAAGGCTATCATGACAATGAGAAGCAGAAATGAAATCTTTGGAAAGATAAGTAGATATGGAAGCAATTGTAAGTAAATACATTTTTTAAAAAAGTGTTTTGCCTGCCACTTTGATTGGATGAAGGCACCAACACAGACCTGAGATAGTGGCTTCCTGTTGGCACAGTTGATGCCTCCAATGAAGACCATGTTGGGCATGATTGGCCTGGGGTAGTCCATCACAAAGTCCCCTCGGAACAGCCACACAGATGCATGGCTGAGAAGATCCACCACTGACACCTCTCTCTGAAAAAGCTCAGAGGCAAGGCTTGCATAAGGAGCAAAAACAGCATGGCAAATGTAGGACAGGGCCAGAGGATAGAGCATGTTCTTGACCCTTTGCAGGAATGGCATGTGGTCTGAATTGGTTGTTAGTAATCTAGGAATATAGGAGGAAGGGTTTGGACACTGTGTGCCCTTAAAGTCTAAATCACATGGAATGTACCTCAAAAAAAACACAGTAGGAATCGACAGGTACTTAGCCAGCACCACCCCACAGAGGTTAACGGGGTCTGTTAACACCACATTAAAGGATGTAGCATTCAGGTGCCTTATCAGGGCCTCATTATGCAGTAGCTCCACACAAGACCTATGAAAGACCAAAGATACATTGTTCAAAATTGCCATACTTCTGAAAAATTTCTTCAGAAAATATCCTGTTTTAAAGCACAGTTGAGTGCGGCCCAGCACAAGACGATCAAATTCATCCTGGGTCCATGGAATGGCATAGGTTGTCAGGGTGAAAAAGTTCTCTTCTTTGATGTGCATATTCACCTCCGGGGTGAGGACCACCGCCTGGTGGCCTCTGGCATGGAGCTCCCGCACGGCCTCCCGCATGCTGAGCCAGTGGCTGCCATCAGTGGGCACCACCAGCACCTTCCCACTCTCAGCCCAGGGCTGGACACTGAGGAGGAGCAGCAGTCCTGTGGCCAGTTGTGGCAGGGGAACCTGGAGTCCTGTGGCCATCTCAGCAGAAGCCACTGACAGCTGACTGTCCACCCCACGCTGTGCATCCTACCTTTGCTTTCTTCATCTTAATTACCTTGTCACTGAGCCACCTAGCAAATCAACACGTAATTGGAAGACCGAGTGCCCTCCTCCAGTTAATTATTAACCATTAATCCATCATTGTTTTTCACTGTGGCCCCCACACTGGAAAAGACCAATCATGCCTATCTTGAAAAACTCGTCTGACCCTGCGCTCGCTCTGGGGAACATCCAAGTTCAAGCTCTTGTTTCTTATCCAATTCCCAACACAAGGCTGTGAACACACATTTCATGTCACTGCCTCCTACTTCTCTGTTAACCACATTTATCAGCCTGCAGTTGAGGTCTGAGGAGTCAACATTTCCTAGTCCCTAATCATATGCTCTCAGCTGGATGACCCTATTTGCTAACCCTTAAAACTCTTTCTTCTCATGTATAAGTAACACAGCACATCCAAAAAACAGACAACATTGCTAAGCAAACTTTCTCTAGCAGGGATTGGGGAGGCTGGCTATCTGGTTTTGGTCATTTTTTGCACCAGGATATTTATTGTAAGGATCAAAGAGGACTCTCTCTGAAGTGGCTGTCAATATATAAAAAGCTGCAGGGAGGCTGAGCTCAAGACACGATGATTGGATTCTTGGGAAGGCTTTGTTAAGAATTCTCCATCTATCCCATAGGGTAAGAGGTGCTGCTGTCTAAAGCACACATGGGAAAGACAACCCTAGCAAGGACCCATGGTGGGTTCAGGGAGCTCCCTGCTCACCAAGGGACTGGGGGAGCTGGAGGCTGGCCTCAGATCTTGCACAGTCTGAATTCCTCTTCTGAATGCTGAAGGCTCCTGTCTTCTGCAAGTCTGCTTACAGACTAAAGTGTCCATTCACCCAGGCCTTTATTTCATCCTGAAGGTTATGGTCAGGCTTTTCTCCAAGTCAATCCAGCACCAAGTTCTGATAAGAATGGTTCCTCCAGAACAGAACGGGCTGCACAATTTGTGGGGGCCCTAGGTCAAATTTCAAGATGGAGAATTAAATGTGTGCCTTTCTAAGGGAGAGACCCTGAGCACTCACAAGGGTCTCATGCCCATGAGGCTTGTCCTGCTCCAGAAAGTCTCTCCTGCGTGTGCTCGAAGATTGCTGAGGCCTCCTTGTCCTGGTCGCCTCAGGATGATGTGGGCAGGCTCTCTGGGGTGTGCACTTTCTATCTCACTGCCTCTGTGTCTTCTTGCCTGACCATGTCTGCCATTGCTGGTAAGGCTGAGGCTTCCCTTAGGGAGAAAGTTACTCCCATTAGAAGTCCACATTGATAACAGATTCCACCTTTGGACAGAACCCATGTGACAGGCAGTGAATGGAAGCATCTACCAGGGGGATACCCAGCTCAAGGGCAGCACACGCAGGATGGCACAGAGAAGGCAGGTCTGCAAGGGCTTTAGGAACTCTCCAGTAGAGGATGATTCCTGGGGAGTTGTAAGAACATAGAGCACTAGAAAGGGATTCTCAGCTGTGGGTGTAACATCTCAGCCTCTGAACTATTCCTCCAACCACCTTAGAAGTATATGCCTCCTAAGCACCCTCCTGGTGAGCCCAGGTGAGGGGTGGAACACGCTTGGGAGGGTGCTCTTCCCACATTCATGGGCTCCTGTGTTCTACCTCCAAGTAGTGGTGTTTTATTTAGACAGCGAAGTCATCTGATTCTTGTCACATGTCTGGGACTCCCAGACTCTGGGGAGGCCCATGTACCTTGGAAGATGGTGGTACTCCAGAGACTTAGGGGGCCCTGAGGAGAGCAGAACTATGGGGAGGGAGGAGCTCCTGGTGCCTGGGAAACAGGAGGAGCTGCCCAAGGCATCAGCTTCCAGGGTTTGGAGATGAGGAGGGGTCTGGGCTGCACAGATAGACTTGGAGCCATCAGAATATGTGGTGGTTGAAGCCATGGGTGTCAGTGAAGTCACCCCAGCAAAGTCCAGAGACAGAAAAAGCCATCCCGAAAGCCTGACCTATGTGGTCTTGTTCCCCTCTGCCAATCTCACAGAGCTAAACATACAAACTGGAATCCTTTAATGTTTGTTAGAGAAGACAGAAACAAATCTTCACATCTTGGAGTAGACAAAGATTCCTTAGGGTACAAAAACTACAAATGGTAAAACTTGCTAGAATGAACCTCATCAAAATCTAAAACTTTTGCTCTTTGAAAGGTATTGTTTTTTAAAAATTAAAAAAGGAAGATCAGGAGAAAAGGAGATAATTGAATGGTAAGCTGATAGCTCTGAAGGCTGGAGAATAGAACTCTATGGAAGACAGGAAGAAAAATTTAAATGGCCAAATAGAGGAAAATCTCCTAGCTTTGAATATGATGTGCATTTCACTTTAAGCTTAGTGTCTGTGGTAGGCAGAATCACAGCCCCACAAAAGTATCTACATTGTAGTTCCTCAAACCTTGGAATATGTTCCATTACAGATGGAAGAGACTTCACAGATCTGACTAAATTAAGGGTTTGAGTTGGATGTCTGGGTGGGACAATGTAATCACAAGGGCTCTTACAAGTGAAAGAGACAGGTGTAAGCGTGGGAGACTTGAAGACGCTGCACTACACCTCCCTAAAAATGGAAAAGTGCCATGAAATTCCAAAATGAATAAGGAAAAAGGAAATTTCTATTAAAGGCATGAGCTTACATTCAGTAGAAAGAACAAGATTAAGAACAGACGGAATCAGAATGCCAACATCAAAAGAAACTACGAGATTGAAGCAATTTTGGTTTTTGTTGTGTTTTAAATAAAAAACAAAAAACAAAAAAAAAACACAGGTACTGAAACTCCTGAGCTCAGTGATCCTCCCACCTAAGCCTCCCAAGTAGCTGGGACCACAGGCGCATGCCACCGCACCCAGCTTTTCATATTGGAGTTTTAAAAAATGTTTTCTAAACTTTTTAAACAAGATTTCCACATGCCAAAGACATTTTTATTTTTTTGAATGGGGCCTCGCTCTGTCACTCAGGCTGGAGTGAGGTGGCGTGAACATGGCACACTGCAGCTTCCACCTCCTGAGATCAGGTGATCCTCCTGCCTCAGTCTGCTGAGTGGCTGGGACCACAGGCATGTGTCATCACAGCTGAATAATTTTTTGGTTTTTTGTAGAGATGGAGTCTCAGCATGTTGCCCAGGCTGCTCTCAGACTTCTGGGCTCAAACAATCCTCCTGCCTCAGTCTCACAATGAGTTGAAATTACAGGTATGAGCAACCCACCTGCACACAAATCATTTTTAAATGAAAAGAGATGGAGAATTTAAAAAAATAACATAGGAGTAGTAATACTGGTGTCAGATAAAATGGATTTTAAGGATTATTATTTAATGATAACAGCAAACTATGTGAAGAAAATACAAGTCTCAAACCTACATGCACCAATCTAATCACTACGTATAAAGCAAAAACTATTCAAGTACCAAAATATAACTGGAGCAGAATTTGTTATGTAAGCGGATTTTTAAAAAGACATCCTTCCCAGAATTGGGCAGGATCAGTAGAGCGTCTTTTAAAAGACAGAAAAATTGGCCCAGTGTGGTGGCACATGCCTGTAATCCCAGCACTTTGGGAGGCCGAGGCTAGTGAATCACTAGAGGTCAGGAGTTTGAGACTAGCCTGGCCAACATGATGAAAGCCCATCTCCACAAAAAATTTTTAAAAATTAAAAAAATAGCTGAGCATGGTGCTGTGCACCTGTAGTCCCAGCTACTTGGGAGGCTGAGGCAGGAGAATCAGTTGAACGTGGGAGGTAGAAGTTGCAATGAGCCGAGATTCCACTACTGCACTCCAGCCTGGGAAACAGAGCGAGACTCATTCTCAAAAAAGAAGAAAAGGCCGGGTGGGGTGGCTCAAGCCTGTAATCCCAGCACTTTGGGAGGCCAAGACGGGCGGATCACGAGGTCAGGAGATCAAGACCATCCTGGCGCCTGTAGGCCCAGCTACTCGGGAGGCTGAGGCAGGAGAATGGCATGAACCCGGGAGGCGGAGCTTGCAGTGCTCTGAGATCGCGCCACTGCACTCCAACCTGGGCGACAGAGCGAGACTCAGTCACCCCCCCCAAAAAAAAAAAAATCGAAAAGATAGAATTGTAGTTGTGTCCATGGAACATTTATAAACATTGACCATATTGTTGTCACTAACTGCATAGGACTACGGAGCACTTGAAATGTGGTTATTCCAAATGGAGATATGCTGTGTCAGACATACGCTAGATTCTGAAGACTTAACAAGAAAAAAACTATGTCAAATAGTTAAGTCATAATCTCATATTGAATACATGTTGAAAGGATAATATTTGGGATACATCTGGCTAAATAAAATGTATTATTCAAATTAATTTCAGTGGTTTCTTTTTTGCTGGTTTCTAACATGCCCACCAGAAAAGTTTAAATTATGTATGTGGCTTACATTATATTTCTATTGGACAATTCTGTATTAGACAGTCAAGGTAACCTATTAAGAATTTTTTTAAGTAGTGTCTTCACAAGAAACATTCTTATTATAATCCAAAATAACTAGAAAAAATAAGAGGGACATGACTACAAAATTATTAATGATATCAGAATTAGGAAACAGACTTACAGTCACTGCATCAAAGGTGAAATTTTAAAACTGATATTTAAATTATCTAAAAGCAGTGAGAAGAACAGCAATTTTTACCAAAACCTAAGGGACATAGAAAAAGTTTTACTCAGAGCCCTCAGTATTTCATTAAGGAAAATCAAATGTAAAGAAACGTAACATTCCTCTAACGCAGTTACAGAAGCAGCTACGAACATGCCCACCAGAAAAGTTTAAATTATGTATGTGGCTTACATTATATTTCTATTGGATAATTCTGCATTAGACAGTCACGGCAATCATTAAGAATTTTTTTAAGTAGTGTCTTCACAAGAAACATTCTATTATAATCCAAAAAATAACTAGAAAATAAGAGGGACATGACTACAAAATTATTAATGATATCAGAATTAGGAAACAGACTTTACAGTCACTGTAATCAAAGGTGAAATTTTTAAAACTGGATATTTAAAATTATCTAAAAGCAGTGAGAAGAACAGCAATTTTTACCAAAACCTAAGGGACATAGAAAAAGTTTTACTCAGAGCCCTCAGTATTTCATTAAGGAAAATCAAATGTAAAGAAA